CAATATAATGAAAATAGTGAAACATATACATAAAAGCCATACATTGTATTTTAACTTGTTAACATTAAATATTACCGAACGAAAGCATTTTGCCATAAGGATCTTTTCAGTTGTGTCTGTTTACATTTAAGTGTTCGTAAAATTTTTGGCGCCAAAAAGATTTTAATTACTGCGCCTTCATTGCTCGATTTTATACAATATAGGGATGAAAAGGATTTCCACAGACTTCAGAAATAACTTCCTAAATATAGTTGCACTTTGACCATATCAATACAGATTACGAGTACAATGAAAGCTTAACATCATAATGCGGACTATTTTCATTGAAGACAATGTGGTATCGGACAAGATCAATGACGTAGCAGGAAAAAATTAGTTCTTTTCCGGGTAAAAGGCTTGGATCGCTAATGATGCATAGTCTCTTTAATATCGCGTGTCATAATTTCCTTTTTATAATCTAAGAGCAACAAAATGTAGGCTTTAATATTACCGATAATTCGTTTTACCTTCAGGTGTTATTTTTTTGTCGCGCATTAACATGTGGCTTTGTTGACACGGAAGACGAGATATTAATGCTCCATTATGATCCTGCCAGGAGTCAAATTATGTATTTTTATTGAAAAATTAATCCTAGGCGCGGTTAGGCTACGATGATTAACTCAAAAGATATGTTAGGATCTCTGAAAACAGGTAGATGGAACCCACAACAACATTTTTGTCGCAGTCCCGTTCCTGTTTATATAGATATAATGTATTTAAACCAGCAGTACAAAAAGGTTGAAATCATGATAAAATAATGAAATGTAGGTTGAAATAAAAAAGTGTTTCTGGCTGATTTTTATATTTTAAAATATTACTTGTAACTTGTGGTCTTCAACTTACAGTAACATATTACAGAATACGTGTATTGTTGTTTTTTTCATTTGAGATTTATAATCAATAATTTTATTTTCGTTGCTCTTTTTTGCCTGAAATATAGAATATAATAGTGAAGCCCTTCAATGTTCCTCAAAGATTTGTTTTATTTCGGGATCAACAATAGCTAGATTGACACTTTATCAAATCATTTTAAGGTAAGTATTACATACAGCTAAATAATCGATTGATTGATTGAAATTGTGGCATTTTTGCTAATATTTCTTCTTTATTGCACCGCAAATATCGAACACTCCCATAATTATTTACCAGAGTGAATTCGACCAATTAACATAATACAATACTGTAATTAGCCTGTATTCTCCTGCTTATCAACCTACAAGACCACCTGCTTCAGCTAACCGTAGCCCAGTGTCTTTAATTGGAATAGGAAATTTCAATAATCTTACAATTTCCTCACTCCCTGTTGGATGGGGGTGGTGGAAAGTACTTTGTGTCAACGACATTAATGTTCCTCGGCATATATGTTCATACAGTACGATATAGACCCCAATACACTTTCAAATGCCACCTGAATATGTCGATGTATTGCATGTCATTAGAAAATAAACGTGACATTTTAGTTTACAAGGACGTGGTTTGGTTAATAACAATAACATTTGTTTTGAAATGTTTTTTTTGGTATTGTCTGTATACAGATAAATACTCGGAAAATATTTTTCGTAAGCAGTTCTGCTGAAGAATTTTTGTTGATCGTTTCCACATATTTTTTTTTTTTTAATTTTTCGAATTCAAAGGGTATTTCTCAAATGATGATTTTTCCGTTCTTATATTGATATCCTTTACCAGCAATAAAATAGCTGCGGAAAATTTATACGCACAAAAATATCTAAAATATTACATTGAATTACATGTAATTCTATTCAAAGAACTGAGTACTGTGTTTCAAATTCTGACCATGTAAATTTCGTCAAATTATGGTTTAATTTAGCACATACTTACGCTACGTGAGAAATTGTCACGACAGTAGATCATTTTTAGCCAACGAATACCAAACCTTAGGTAATAGCTTGTTTAAACGGCGTTTAATGATAAGTGATGCATGTATGTGTTGTTCTGTAAAAATGATATACTTCAACTCATTCATTTCAAAAATACTTTTTACCTGAAATTTCATGCTACCGTTAAAATGCTTGGAAACTATCGGTTTTGAAATGTCAAGTATGTACAAGTATATAGAATACTTTTGAGTTTTTAAATTGCGTAATTGATTAATTTATTCATCTTAATCATTATTTTATAAAGCTTTAATTTATGCAGGAAAAAACGAGGCACTTCCGCAATGTCATTTTCTTTAATAATCATAATCTATATTCCTAAATGAATCTTTTATTTTGGGAAATTCTATCAAAAAATTTCAAGAACTTCCTAAACTGAATAGAACAAATCATACTAGTGCTATCAAATACCTACTGCAATTAATGCCAAGAAGAGTGACATTTATATTGATGCTCGTTAGTATCAATAAAATGAACCTAGATCTCATTTATTACACCAAAACCCGAAAACATGCTCCATTTGACGCTTGTAATTTCATTGTAGTGGTTAAAAGTCGCGGATACAAAGTCCCAAGAGACCATGTAATAGGAGAAAAAACTAAAAGGCAAAACACAGTTCTCCCAAAAGGTCGTTGCTGTAAACCCACGGTTCAATTATGTTAACACTCGATGTAATCAAATAGAAAGAGCAGAAGCAGCCGTTTCAGGGGCCTTACTTTGTTTTATAATGAAAATTTGTTTTGTTACAGAAAAATGAAAGTATTTTCTTTTGCGCGTTTTAATTTTAAATTTGAGTAACATGTCCATTTGCACATCTTCTACTTCAGATGAAAAAAAAAAATGGAGATATTGAACAGAAAATGATTTCAGTTCCTTATATATTGAGATCGTTGATTTGAAAATAAATGATGTACTTTAAATTCTGACTATATCAGATTTCTTTTACCTTGATTATGATATATTGCAAATTTCAAATACTGACTGACGTTTTTCATACCATATCATTGTAATCTAATTATTTGCACATTGAATTGATAACGGATTTTCCAGTTATTTCCCGATAATGACAAGGAGCACACAGCGGGTGTGATAGGTCGGCAGAAATGCTCACTCCTCCATGGCACCTGATCCCATCTCTGATGTTTTGGAGGTCAGTGTTTGCTCTGCTCCTATTCTGTATTGTTTGATAGACCTTTGAGCTTGAATACTGTCTGTTATTTCCATATATTTAATTGAAAACAAGCAAAAATTAAATTATACCATCATTCCACGTATTCTACATAGATGGGTATTTATGTAACAAATACATGTATGTTATTAACAGTCTTAACAATGGAGTGAGTGACAAATGTAAGGGTGGGAAAGTTCTAATAAAAGTTATCCCACTAGTCACACACCATATGATTCTACTCATGATTAAGAAAGAAGAGATCTTATTTCTTATCATAAATTCAAAACCATTTCAATACAGGGACGTGACTTTTTAATCTTGCAAACGAAATGCATGATGTGTAGGAAGTTATGTTAACGGACTTAAGATTTAAACCCGTGTAAAATAAAAATGTTTTATGCAATTATAAGTCCGAAGTTGAATGACTAGATTTTCAACGTGTTTCTAGTCTTTCGCAATGGGAAAAGACTGCAAGGGTTTGACATAAATGATTTTCTGTCAGTGCTATAGCTTTGAAAACCTTTGTTGAATGATTTCAACCTCATATTCCTGCTAATTATATTTTGTTATGACCCTCATGTAAAGTCATCTGTCACAGATTAAGGTCACTTAATAATGAGATGCTGATTTTATGCTGTTATTTCGATAGACCTGAATTTTATATATATTTTTTTTCATATTTTTTTCTTCAATTTGCTTTTTATCTTAATTAATTTGTTAAATCACACCTTCAGAAACAAAACTTTTTTTTCAAGAAGATCAAGCTATTCTGACTCTCATTGTTTAAAGATGATAAATATGTTAGAAATTGTAAAAAAAGAGAAAATTAACGTTTCACACAGAAAAATCTAATGTTGCTTTTTTTTGGGAACAAGCATGTTCCTTTCTTTAAATTTTGAAGACATGTTCTGGGATAAAGTTGTACAACAAGTTAAACGTTTTACTAAGGTTAAAAAAACTACACTCTTTTTGTTTTCTCATTTAACAATATATTTTTTTTCTTCATTAAGATGTTTTCTCAATGAACTCAAGAAGCATGGAACACTTTATGAAAAACTATATAATTCAACTGCAGCAGTAGATCAAGACATCGACATTCTGTTATATCGACTTCTAACGAAAACTGGTTAGTTGGATTTATTTTTAAAAAAAATTGTTTGTAGGGGGCAGGCTAAATGTTTCTGTAAGTATTGGCATGGATATTTACGTTATTACATGTATAAAATTGTTGTACGATTGATATACTTCTGTAAGCATGTAAATTGTGCGTATTTAGACTCAAACATTTTAAAAATCTAAAATTTACTACATTTATACACATTCTCTAAATATTTATCAGATATACGTAGGATAATCAAAGATAAATTAAAGCCAGAGAGTTTTTCAAACACCAATATACGTTGCAGCTTTTGAAGACAAAATAGCTTAAGACAAACAAACCATATCTAAAACAGTGTCCAAATAAATACGTTCCATTTAAGTAGCCCGGTGACTTTGAAAATATAATGGCAATATCAGTAATTTGATCCTTGGCGAAATTAAATCTCATTCATTATCTCATTCACACACACGTTTTTGAGGCAATGAACGGCAATTGATTACAATTTACATGATCACATAGATATAAACATAAAATAAAACACATTGTATATGAACCAAAATACATGGGTTTTTTTCTTGCACCGTGTGAAGTTTATGAAACGAAATGCATGAAAATAAACTTCTAGTATATTCATGAAAATGAGAAAAATCAACTAAATAAAAATCATTATTTACTATATAATAAAAACTGAAGCAGATTTACAAAATTCTTGCGTTACAATCATTATACCGATAACAAGAGCGTGTGATGACTCTTTGATTATCGGTATAACGAAAGGTAATACTTTAAAGAATCATACCTTTAATATCGTATTCAGCAGTCGCTGTATTTCTAGATCTATATCTTGACAGGTTGGTTCATTAGAGCGCTTTCCCCATCCGGGCGCCCTTTTACCCCATCCCGGCCTTCGCCGCTCTACAAAAATGTCGGACGACCTCTTACCCCACCCTGGAGCACGCTTGTTTAAAATGTCTGAAATATCATAAGGTAAATTGGAGTAAGTTGAGTCTTTATCACTTGGTTCTGGAAATGTTCTTTTTCCCCATCCAGGTTTTCTCTTTTCCATTTCTGACCGTTTGCCCCATCCTGGTGCGCGTTTATTAATCTCATTATTGAGAGAGTCTAGCAAATCCGCTGTTCTTTTCCCCCAGCCAGGCCGTCTTTTATCAACAAAACTTTTTATATCCTCATTGAATCTTCTTTTACCCCATCCAGGGCTTCTTTTGTCAAAATAATCAGAGTTCAAACCAGCTCTTTTACCCCAACCAGGTTTTCGTTTATTCATTTCAAGTTCGTTCATATCACGTTTGCCCCAGCCCGGTTTTCGTTTTTCCATTATTGAATCTGAAAAATCTGTCTCTAAGTCAATGTCACTTCTTTTACCCCATCCTGGCCTTCGTTTATCTCTAAGTTCATCGTCAGTTGATACTATTCCTATAACAAGTGCTGCAACTATTAAAAATATTGATGCAGATTCCATACTTGCAGTCCTTATCAAATTTAAATTGATATCTTTTCTTCAGGAACTGCTGTTCTTATATTATTACCTTATGTCATTTCCCCACATTTTAAAGCTTAGCCGATAGTCTAATATCACAACCCGCGCGGAATCCATCAGTCAATCAAAGAGCAGATCATCTATTTAAGGCGTGTCCTTCATCTAAGTAGGCAATTCTTTTCACACATGTTCATCAATATGTAGGCAGAGGATCAATTCTTTTTCGTTTTTGTTTTTCTATCATCGGCGTTGCCCTTATCGTGTTGGTTGCGACAAATTGAGCCCTCCGAAAATGCTTCCATGAATAATTGATGTAAGATGATTTTAGTGAGGGAATTTCTGGCATTGTTTTGATGTGTCTCAATACTTCTACCGTGGTCCGTTAACGAAGCATTGAATGTCATGTACATTTCATGTCAGTATCAACCCGAATTACCAATAGTACTATTCACGTTGTAGGCGTTCGGATCAATATCTTGATAAGTAACAAGTTTCAGTTCAGGTTTGTCTGCATAATTAATTAGAAAATGATGGGCCACTTTATTTTATGTTGGATTAATTAGAAAAAGTTGTCGTTTATTCTTCAAAAGTTTACACACAAGGGTAAGCGACCCGGTTATTTTTGTTAAGTATAGGTACACATGATCTTTTGAGAGACAGAGAGAGAAAAAAAAGAGAAAGAAAGAAAAGAGAGAGAGAGAGAGAGAGAAAGAGAGATCTTGCAATATTTAACCATTTAACTTTTAATTTTTGTTAAATATTTACCCTATTTTCCCTTATTCCCTTTTTTATTATTTAACTTTTACCATATGAAATAAAACATAACTACAAAATATTGTTTAAAAAAAAGCAATAGATGAACCGTACATATCCATTTCTAAAAGAAAAATCTAAATATTCACCTATTATTGTTAAAATTCATACTTAAATGAACATAATTTTTTTAGCTTCTAAAAAAGTTTCTTCAAAATAGGTATAATAAAAAATGTATTTTTTTTTACCTTGAAATATCATACCTGTAATGTACATGTAATTAAGAAATTTAATTGCCAAATCCAACTGTAATAAATAATAAGTGTTGTTTATTTTTTTTTTTTTTATTGTAGCCTAAAAAATTAATCTCAGAATTTACATTTCATAATAGATATGAACTTTTGAGAATCAAGACTCCTAGTACCTAAAGCAACTTCCCCTTTAATCTATATACAAGTTGTTTGTGCTAGGGCATTTTATATCTTTATAGTTAGGTAAAATATGGTGATAATAAACAGTATTCAAGCCATAAAACCATTGAATCAACACAAATCGGTAGCAGAGCGATCAAGGACCTCTAAAACATAAAAAGTTGGACCAGGTACCATGGTGGAGTGTTGCAACCACTATTGAAATAACGATCACTATTGAAATAATTATATCAATAGTGGTTGAGAGTGCATTTCAATAGCAAACATAGTTAGTAACCACTATTGAAATAACGACCACTATTGAAATAATTATATCAATAGTGGTTGAGAGTGCATTTCAATAGCAAACATAGTTAGATACCACTATTGAAATACAACCACATATTGAAATAATTATTTCAATAGTGGATGAAAGTGCATTTCAGTAACAAATTTAGATAGTAACCACTATTGAAATAATTATTTCAATAGTGGGTGAAAGTGCATTTCAATAGACCAACACACTATAAGCAGAGTTAATCTCCAAAAATTATATAGATATCACTAATAAAAACTCAAGTATCTCTTTTCTAATCACCTTTAGAGTACGTGTATCAAAATAGTTTAGACAAAATTTTTTTTGCAAATGACCAATGACTCAGTCATGGTTGAAGACTCGACCAACGAGTTTGTCACAGAACAATATAAAAAAACAATGCATTTTAATTCAAAAACTTGTGTTTATGTCGTAAATGGAATTTTTATTACACGGTTATTGAGAATAAAAGTTAGATATTATCTATATTTTTATTTCATAGTAAGGTTATTGGTACCGTATATACTCGCCTATAAGTCGGTTTTTTGGGAGTCAATCTCTGGTTCAAAACTATGTGTCCGACTTATAGGCGAGCTATAGAAAGAATGGTTTTATATGGGGTCAGTCCAACTGAAATATAAGCTTATTAACAACAACCGACTTATAGGCGAGTATATACTGTATATCATATAAATTGATTAAATTTTCATCTGAAATGACTCTAATTAAACTAACATATAGCTGGACTAAATGAAGGAAAAATACATTTTACAATAATAGTGCAGAAACATCAACTTACGGCACTTACTCCCGCTTCATCCTTGGTTGGACAAACTTGGTTGACAAATTGCTTCTTCATTGACTAAATATTTCTTACTATTTTAGTCAACACTTCTCGGATAATTTTGCTGTTCAAAGATTAGGAATAAAATAAGAAAACCCCAAGTACAATTGATTTGCTTGCTCAAATGTTTTCAGAACGTTCTATAACTGTGGAATCATTAGATTTCGTTTTGCTTTTAATGTTTGTGAAATTCGTGGGTAACATGATACAACCACGATTTTACATCCTTATCGAATCTTTTCTATTGAAGATATGAGTAAATGGACGAAATTACATTCTCTCATATTTTTAAAAATATAGACAATCCACAAAACGTAGTCTCTAATTATAGGAATTTGAATTTTCCCAAAGTAATCGTTTTTCTCCTTTTCTTTATAAATGATTTTATTTTGTCTCCTACATTAAGTCTGAAATTTCAATTGCCCTTGATTGTGTTGGCAGCTTAAATTATTATTAATATCATTAATATTTTTTATCTTCAAACCACCCCTTCCATTTACTTTATAAAGGTATCATAAACCAAAGCATGTTTCGGATAATGCGCTTATAAAGTATCGCGTATGTATTCCTTTAAAGGCTGTTACGTCATGTATCCTGCAATGTTTACGCAATAGCGTCTTGCTTTCACCTACAAAGGTGTCTATGACTCAGCTTGAAAATAAATCGTTTTGGAGATCAGATGTAAGAATATTTTGCAAAAATAAATGGTTACTGCCCTGAAATATTAGCGATATTTACGTTCGGGTTGAAAACGTGATGGAGCGCTCAGCAAACCTTACATTCTTTCACGTTTTCTCACTCTCGCCCAAATATTGCTTATATTTCAAGACAGTGACCATTTGTTTTAATTATTCACATATTATTCAAGCTCAAAAGTCCATTAAACAATACAAAATAGGAGCAGAGCATACACAGACCTCCGAAACATCGGAGGTGGGATCAGGTGCCATGGAGGAGTGAGCATCCCCTTCCGACCGGTCATATCCGCCGTGTGCTCCTAGATTGATGGTTAACATGTCAATTTAAAGTCATTTTCGTTCGATTTTCAAAAAAAAAAAAAAAAAAAGAAAAAAAGAAAAAAAATGAAATACACATTCAAGTACCAGCTTATGTTTTTGATATTTTTTCAAGATAAATTGAATTATTTGATATTATTTGATGTATATGCAAGTCAGAACAAACTCAAATCAATATTTTGAAAATGAATCTAGATAGGCAGTTCCTATAATAATTTAAATTTAGTTGCAATTTGCCAAAGCTGACAACTTTTGCCAAAAGCCATACTGTACAAAGAAAAGGTACAGAAAATTTCCCCTGGTTTTTGTGACCTGCGAAACACTTGATTGTACGCCTTCTGAAAAGATATAAGGACGTCATAAATTATTTAACGAAAGAGGACATATGTGGACAATCATTTTGAGTAGAAAACTATAGAGAACAGAACAGGCAACAGAAAGGCTTAATATAGCGTCAAATATTCTGTAATTGGAAGAGGAGGCCCGCTGGGCACCCATAGAGAGTGCAATCTACATCAATAGAAATACTATATTAGATGGAAAATAAACCAATAATACGCCTTGTATACAACTACGTTCAAATTCAAACAATCATTAAAGATGAAAATGCTCCATGTATATTATCAAAATACGATGATGTGAAATTCCTTTTGTTTACTTTTTTGGTAAAAGGATTTGCCAATTAATAATGAATTTAAATTAAAGATCTTTGAGTTTATCTTCTGATGAGTGATGTTCTGATTGTATTGGAGTCAACATTATGCACCCCTAGTAACACGAAAAAAATATGTAACGTTGATTATGAGATGCATTAGATTGAATAGATTAAAAGATAACAAAATAGTTAACCCTCTGAATTCATAGCAAAAAAGATTTGGAAATCCATTTCAATTTTTCTCTTACTACCCGGTAATTAAGACACAAATATGCATTTGTCAAATTATGCCCTACATAGCTTATAGAGAGTTGTTTTTTCATACTTTTTTAATATTTTATTCTGTTTACAAGTGATGTACTCGAATATGAGGCATACATAAATAAGTCAATATCCAAATAGAAAACTTTACAAAGAGTTAAGCAAAGAATAACAAATGACAAATTAAACATGATCCAATGGCTTTGGGTAAGGATTTGACTTAACACCGTTTTTACGTATGTCGTTATTTGTTACGCGGTAATCGACTTTAATTGGCTGTAATTTGACACTTTTTCCTGTAACCAGAGACAGGGGAAAGTCCAAATACCTTGTTGTCGTTGTCTCTGAATTCAGAACTTCATTTACAGGGGGCGTTTGATCTTTGTTACTCATTTGTTTGCGAACTTCACAAATGATCAAATTTCATTCCTAAGTCTTTAGTACTTATGGCCTCTCCCCCGCTTAAAAACTTAAAGAAGAAATGCAAATTCTGCCCAAAGCAACCTGATATATAATGAACCGAGGGGATTGTTTTCATGTGGAAAAAAAGAGAAAAACAAATCGCCAATTGGAAGGATGAAATCTATTTAATGAAACATATGGTGATAACAAACAATATTCCAGATCAAAAGTCCATAAAACAATACAAAATAGGAGCAGAGCAAACACGGACCTCCAAAACATCAGAGATGGGATCAGGTGTCATGGGGGAATGAGCATCAGCTGCCGACCGGTCACACCCGCCGTGCGCTCCTTGTAATGATCGGGAAATAACGGAAAATCTGTCGTCAATTC